GTAGGGAAATATTATGAAGAATTATATTTTATATTTATTTTGTTTTCAAGACTATCATCTTAAACTTGGTGCATCACTGAGGGTGAACCTATTAATATGAAAAAATAAAATTGAGACACTCATGTAAACCTGTGTGACCTGTATAATGAAGTTTCTCCCCAAAATTAACACAATTACAACAGTGGAAAATAGTTCTGAAGGACTTCATTTCTAACAGGTTTTTCTTTTTTCAAACTATACACATCTTGTTTCTTTACTTCCCTTGAAAAGAAAACTAAACCTGTCTGTAATGTGTCAGGCACTAAAACTCAACTACACAAAACTTGCCTAAATCTGGAAAAAGAAAACTATATGCCATGCTTGATACTTGAGGTTCTGATCTTGCAAACATCTATGGGTACAAATAGCTTGACTTACACAAGAAAGACAGCATTTCTGAATAAAATTTGATAGCAGACACTATTGAAAATCATTAGCTCCTTGTGAGTTAGGTAAAAGTTCTTTAAATCATCAGTCATAATTGCCATTATTTTAAACTACAAATTGTTATTTGTCCTCTGGTGCTTTCAGGCCTTCAGTTTTTAGGCTGCCACATTCAACATAGGAATGTAGGAGTGGAAGGTCTCTCTCTCAGTCCAGCCCTCTGTGATTATTTACCCAAAGAAGCCTCCACTTCACATCCTTACACAGCTACACTATACTAAAAACACCAGCAACACCCTATAACATGCTATAGACAAAAGCAGGGCATATGATGTCATTGTCAGTGCCCTGACATTGTAGTTACAAGGAAGTAATTTGTTAATACATGCTCAGAAGTTCTAAGAAGACTAAGCCCCATGCTACAGAGGAAGGCAAAATCTTGCATCATCAATGCCAATCTGACCTAGTGCAAACTTTCTTTCCTGAACCAAAATTTGGCTCTCAGGGACCGCATCTACATGAGACACTGAATGCACAGTAGCCTGTGACTACTGCACAGTAGCATCACATGGCAGGAAGCATGACACGACACTACTGCACAGTAGTCATGAGCTACTGCGCAGTGTCAAAAACAAGCCATTCCTTGACGCGACTGTGCAGTAACTCCAGATTACCAGGTATCTACTGCAAAACAAGAGAGTTACCCCAAAGTAGGGATTTAATATGTCCAATGTCCCAAACTTTTAATAATTATGCACGTGTGAGGGGAACTAATGAGTAGTTTCCCCCTACATATTGTGTATGGGGTGTGTGTGTGCGTGTGTGTTTATACAAATACATGTTTTAGAATTTAAAACTAAATGTGTATATAATATTCATGTTTTTGCATTGCAATGGAAGCCTAAATAAGAAATCTTATCAGAAGTATTTGCAAAATGCAAAAAATATATATTGTAATAATTAGAATTTCTGGAATTTTGAGCAGATTAAAGTACATAAGGAATCTTTTGTTGTTTGCCTAATTCATTTATAATATATTTGTAGTATCCTCTCTATATGGACTGCTTTTTATAACTGAAAGTGAATACATTTCACAATATTAAAAGTATTTCAAAGGATAAGAAATTTCATTTGAATTTCTTGTAAATTTCTCTCAACAGATGGTCGACCTCAGTGGGAGGTAGAAGGGAAAATAATTAGGGGAAAGTGTCAAGGGGTGAGAAACTTAATTTTCTTTCTTTGTAAAGTTTTTTTTTTAATTTTAAAGTAAGAAATTGGTCTTCTGTGTGTTTGTACTTGAATTAAGATTTTGTAAAGTAAATAAGTAGGTACATATGAACAAGTTCTTCAAGTTAACTTACCTCAGCTGGAAACCTTCTGAATTGGTATAACAACACTGTAAAGTAGTCATTGGGTTGCTGCTTCCTAAGAAACTAAAATGTTAAACGTTTTGAAAAACTGGAAGATTCATTGTATCAAAGTGAAAAGTTACTATATTAAAATCTTCCCCATCAGATAAGTGTTACAAAGCTTAGTTTCTGTTTGCAGCTACAGCATTCTAATACTCTTAAAAGATATGTGAATATTTGAGGTAAATATGTGTTTTTAATTTAAAAAAAAAATCTGTAATCTCTAGAACGTTTATGTTGGGGAGGAAGGGAGGGAGGAAGACTCCTGCATAATGATGTTTGTCATTTTCTTGTTTCTAGTTTGTTAAGATGTGTAAACCTAAGTCTCATCTAACGAAAAGTACCCATTTGCTTAAGTCTTGCATTCAGTTATTCTGTACTTAACAGGTGTGTTTTTTTCTTTACATTATAAAAGTAATGCTCTTTTTTTTACTTTCATTCAGACTAACATTGTTCTTGACGTTCCTCCATACCATAACAAAGCCATTACAGCTGCAGTCCAGGTGCAGTTTTATCTTTGCAATGGCAAGAGGAAAAAAAGCCAGTCTCAACGATTTAATTACACACCAGGTACAAAAAGCATCTTACTGTAAAATGGTTAATCTAGACAGTTAGGAAAATTATTTAAATCAAGTGTGTTACATGAATACCAGAAAAATGTTCACATAGTTGATGAGTAGATATGACTAAATTTTAGTTGCTGGAATTGTTGATTACAAGTTTGTCTCATAGCAAACTTGAGTCTGATATTATAGTGTATAGTACTATGAATAGAGCTACATCTCTACCCACTGTTCTTAATCATTGCTGTGCATGCTTCCCTTTTCAGGCCTGATATAGAATGCCTTGCATTCAAAAGCTTGTCTGACTTTATCTGAACCATGCAGTTAGTCCATAAAAGATATCTCCCCAAAAAATCCATGCTTCTCTATGGGCAGAGCTAAGAATTCATAGCTTAATGAAGTGGTTTTTTTTAATACACATTTTATTTTACTTGTACTTTTTAATCAAATTAAGTGTCAGTTCTCAGAAAAGGCAGTGTTATTTCTTACTCTGTTTTTTAATCAGCTTAGTCGTGACAGGGAGTGAACTCTTGAAGGGAGACAAAACATAGTCCTTATAGATGTGTTGCAGTATTAACGAATTTTTGTAAGAACGTCACATTGTGCTCGTTAATATTATTTAGTTAAAATGTTTTTTATTTCTTTCATCTGGTATAGGAAAAGTTTGCAGGATATGTAACATTTTCTTTTATGGCTGACTGGAAGTCCCCAGTGGACTAGAAGGAGGGATATACTCTTCATTAAGAACCAGAAATGACTCCAAATATATGTTGGTTTCAGCAAGTTTAGTTTGAAGTTGGAGGTCTTGATATTTATGACCATATATCGGAAGGCATTGTAGACTTGACAAAAATCTTGTTTCAGTTATTATTTTATACTTACTGAAAGATGTTAATAATAGTTATTCTGCTTAGTTACATATTTTATGCCATTAAGCATAATTAAACTAATATGCAATTATGTGGGCAATTGGGTATGTATTAATTTTATTTGTTTGGTTTTAAGCAGTAGTGAACTACCACATTTCTTAATGTCAGTTCTTTTAAATTAATCATTTAACGATTTCTAAACTCAAATTAATAATAAGATGGCTCTTTTTTCTGCAACAATTGTTATCTAAATTGGGGAATGAGGTAATGGAATATAGCAGCTAAATAAAAAAGAAGTTTAATTATAATTGCAGATATACTACACCAATGCTGAGCATGTATTTGTTGTATTTCCTGCTTTCCTTTCATCACACATGGTAAAAGACAGTGGTTGAGTAATACAGGTGTTGGCAGGAGAAAATCCGTTTGTGCTTAAAAATAACAGTCCAAATCATAAGCTAATTGAGGAATCACTCAAGTTGCATTAAAAATCTAAGAAATGCCTGCATGGATGTGAACACATTCTGTATATAACTGATAAAACTCCAAAAACTGGTGATTAATTTAGTACTTTGCAGACTCTGTTTTGTGGCGCTGTGCATATTTCAGACCAAGATCATCATATATTTTAGTGATGACATAGCACTGTATACTGATGTGGTTATGGGTTGGGAGGGGAGTGTTAGAGAAAGCAAATTTCAGTGTACTTTATTTAGAATTCAAATACTTTACTTCAGTTACTTAGAATCGTCAGTACAAAGTTGTAGAGAAACGTTTCCCAGTATTCTCTGAGACAGATTTTTTCAGAATAAATATTTCTGCTCTTAGGGTGTCCTAAAGATACTTCTGTACTATTCAGAATGCAGATAGAGGTGCAGCTCCCTCAAGTTCTATGACTACAGCCTGAAGGAATATCTTACAGCAATGTTAAGTGAGATTAAACGCACATGTAATGCACATGATCACTGGGCTCAAATTGTGCCTGATTTCTACCTAGTCAGCCCAGCCAACTGGGGACCAGATTCCTGGCTCCTGCCAGCCCCTACACCACCACCCAGAGCCCAGGGCTGATCCCCCATGCTCCATGCCAGCCTGGGGCTCTTCTGCCCTGGCTCAAATTACTGCCATCCTGGGCACATGTATAGACACTGTGCTCAGGAGCAATTAACTCCAACTTGAACTGCTCTGGAGTTTACTGCATTGTAGATGTACCCAGCTTATACCAATACCAAACCAAAGGACAGTCCCACATAGAAGTAGGGTTCCCTTTTAAATCTACGTCTTTGCATCTCCTCCATCCACCTTAAAAGCATTGAAGACTAAATCACATACTGCTAGATTGGCAGATTTGAATGGTAAGGAAAAAAGAGCAGTAAAATCTTACACTGAGCCCACATAGAGGCCAGATTTTTGCTCTTCTCAGGACTTGAACTTTTTCTTTCAGAACTTTAAATGGAAGATCCATTCAGTTCAAAATGCAACATCATCTGGATTTTTTTTCTTAGAAGTTTGAGATAATGGGAGAAGGTTGCTAGTTACTTTAATTGGTTATTTAATTAAAAAATACATTGTCTCTGGAGTTGAAAGATTTTTATTTGGCTAAATTACTTTAGAATGCATCTATGGCTATAGTACAATATACTTACCTCTCTTTCTTCTCATTCTCCCCCATTATTCACTTCCCCACTCTGTCTGAGCAGAAATTTTGGACAGACTCTCAAAGAGTTTCTTGTTCATGCAAAAAATTATGTTATACTACATTGTGTTCCTGGTGCTTAAATAAAAAATCAAGACTAAATGGGAGTGCACTAGCAAAGCTAGTGCATCTTATCAACAGAGATCCAATTTTTCAATTTCCCACATAAAATGGAGAAAAACATGGGTTTTCCCCTTTATCTGAGGAAAACATGGATTTCTCATTTTCATGGATAAACCTGCAGATTTTGCAGTTTTGCAAAGAGCTCTCTGCAGGCTGGCAGAGTTCCAGCCTGTAAGGGCCTGGGAGGGAGCAGGAGGAGGGTGGTCAGGCAGGGGCACCATTTGCATGTATATGTATATGACCACCAGGTAGCCTGGAGAGCAGCTCCTGTAGGGGGGGAGGGGGAATTGAGGACCCCATATGGAGGAAGAGAGGGAGTTGGCTTGGGCTGGGACTGCTCCCCAGCTGAGCAGTGTGTGGGGCGTGGGGCCTGGGGCTGCAGTGCACGACAGCAAGGGAGTGGGACAGAGTCACGGGTGGCTCATCCAGGGAGCAGGGCAGGGTGGGGGCCAGCTCCCTGCTTCTATGCTCACTCCCGGGGTGCAGGGGAGACCCCATATCTGTATGTGGGGCAGAGGTGGGCTGCCCCATTGTGGGCTTGGATTCCTGCCCTGTTGTCCTCCATCAGGGCCACTGCAGCCCAGCAGGTGCGATCCAGTGCTGCAGGGAACGTGTGCTGGGGAGGGCAGCAAGGCAAGAGTGCGAGCCTGCAGCGAGCAGCCCACACCTGTCCCACGCAGAGATCTGGGGGGCATGGGTCCCCTCTTCCCCCCCAGGAGTTTGCACAGCAGCAGGCAGCCATCCTGCCCCCCCCAGCCCACAGCAGGCAGGCAGTGGGAGGGGTGGAGGCGGGCTCCATTCTGCTACAGCAGCTGCTACTGTGGACCCAGGTCCCTGGCCCTGTCACCCTAGCAGATAGGGGCCCTTTCCGACAGTGCTGGGGGGGCATGAGCAGGGCAAGGGGGCTGTGGGGGAGGGGCAGTGAGTGGCATGAGCAAGCCCATGGGCTGTTGGGGGGGAATTGAGGGGCACAAACAGGCCCAGGGGGATTGTGGGAGGGAGTGAGGGGCCTTCATTTTAATCACAGATTGGAAATTTTTTTTCAGAGAATTTGTGATTTTTTTTTTTATCAGGGAAAACGAGGATCCCTGCTTATTAATCCCATACTTAAATATACTAATTTTGTCAGAGTCAGAAAATGAGTCACCTCTGGTCTGTTGAGGCCTTAGTCTTGTCCCTCTTTTATTTTTGGCAGATATAATTATAAAAAGCAATCACTCACCTCAGGCACCTACATTAGACTTCAAAGAAGACTCTCCCTATATATCAAGCAGGCACTCAGTATTTTTTATTTTAAATGTCTGCTGCTATAACTCAAAGTAAGGACACATCTATTAGGGCTAGAGTATTCATAATGATCCCTGCAGTGTTAGTGGCTGTTCTCACAGACAGACAGACATTTATTCTTCTTTAACAATCTTTTCCTGTCTATAGCTCTGTGGGACCTAGAGGGGATAGTAACCTGTGTGTAGAATCACTGGTTCTCAGTGTTTAATGACAGAAGAGTTCTTTCCTATCTCATCAGTTTCTGTATTTAGGAGTGGTGCTGAGCCTTGATGAGGACAAATGTTCATTTCAGATTAAATAAAAGATCATCTTGTTGATATACTGAATTAGGCCATCACACACTTCTGAAGCTCCTGATATTACTTATTGTACTTGTTTTATGCGTGGACATTCTAAAATTGGCCTAATTTTATGAGAATGCTCCAAGTCTGCTTCTTACTGTATCAGAAAGAAATTGCAACCAGTCAGGACCAGAGTCAATTCTGAGACAAGTTAGTTACTAGGTAGACCTAAGGATCATCTAAGGAGGTGTTCTCTGCTTCCAACTATCTGTCAACTAGTATCAGATACTTATCAGATGATAGTACCACTGCATTGGCATATATGAGTTGACAAAGAGGAATCAAATTCACTTTTCCTTTTTAAGGATGTTGAAGGTGTTCTGACTTGGTCAAAACAGCATAGGCTGTCTGCCTTTCCACATGAAGAGAAGAGACAACGCATTAGATTGGTTTAGCACAATGGTGCCCAACCTTTTCATCCCACAGGTTGAATGGGTAGTGCTAGTCTGTCTATAGGCCTAATCCAGCCAGTGGTCTCAATCCAGTATATGCGGCTGTTGTGGCGGTGGCCCATTCTGGCCCCAGACGGGGTGTGCAGCCAAACCCTGATCTGTTTGCCTTTCAGGGAGAGGCAGGGAGCTGTCTGGCTTCAACATGAATGCCAGGGATGGGAAGCAGCCTAGCTTGATTTGGGTACAGGAGTGTGGGGGAGACGTTTTATATTTTCTTCCCAATTTAATGCTGTCCTTCTAGGCAATCAGGCACTTTTTATTAATAGATTAGCCAATTGCCTGTCAAGAATGACAGGGAAAGA